GATCCGCCTTTTCCTATGTAAGTTGATCATGAGTGCTACTGCAAGCTCTCATGTGAGCTGACTTGCAGAAGAAATAGAATAAGGGAGATATTTGAGAGCTTTTCACATTGCAATTGATTTTGCAATCTTATATGTGATTACTTACGAAGTTGCCAAGTTTCCATGCATATGCATTTATCCCCCGATAGTAATCATACTCCCTTTAAAAGCACGAATTCGGGAAAATCTTTCTATGGTCAGTATTACCCTTAGATTTTTTTGAATATTACATTGTTATCCTAATCTATTCTAATTTTAATCATATCTTATCTAATTCCATGTGAACTATCTATAGGTCAACAATTTAAAAAAAAAGTTATTTTGAATATTTTACTTAAACCTTAATCTATTCAAATACTAATTATATCCTATATTAACTCCATATGAACTACCTATAACTCAAAAATATAGAAAAAAATAAGATTAAGAAATTATACGCAGATAACATATTATAATACATGAAGTATTATAAAAAAAACCCAAAAGTTTCAAAATTTGCATATAATAGCCTTAAAATTTTAAAATTAAACAAAACACCTTGACTTTTTAAAACTTAAAAACAAACATGATATCTAAAAATTTAAAACTTGTAATTAACACCCTCAACATTTTAAAAATTATAAAAACAACATCAAAAGTTTAAAGGCTAAATTAAATTTATATACCCTATGTGTTTCGCTCTTGAAGCAGTTATATACCCTAAGTTACAAAATATAGCAAAAAATACCATGAGTTAGTAAAAATTTGCAAGTTGGTACCTTCTGTTAACCAGCTGTGAGAATATTCTCTGAAATATTCCCACGTGCTGGACCTATGACCAACTTGAATACTTCTTACCCTCATTTATTGTATTATTTACTGTATTACCTACCCCCCACCCTCCGGTGCAAATTAGATTATTTTCATCATCATCTTCTTCTTTACGTGACCTCCAACTTCTTCTTCCTCTTTAATATGGGTAACAATAGAAAATAAGAGCTTTCATTATGTTGGGGGTAGGTTAATTCTTAAGGAGGGGCGTTATTGTCCTTTTATGTATTTTTCCAACTCAGGGTATTTTTTTGCTATGTTTTGTAACTTAGGGTATATAACTGCTACAAGAGCAAAACAATAGGGTATATAAGTGCCATGTAGCCATGTTTAAATTACAAGAAAACATTCTAAAATTCAAAGATTTAAAAACTTAGAAACAATATAGATGGATTCCAGGGATTACCATTGGGCACATAAAAATTTTAAATTAGTAAAAAAAAAATAACCTCAAAGGTACAAAAATTACAAAAACTCTCTCAAAAGTAAAAAATTATTAAAAAATTCTAAAATTTTAAAACTTATAACTGGTACATATAAAATTTAGAAATTATCAGCAGATTGCTAAAAATATAAAATTTTTAAAAAACAACCCAAAATTTTAGTAATTATAAAAATACTTTCAAATTTTTAGAGTTACGAGAAATATTCTAACATTTAAAAACTTATCACCAATATATAAAACATGAAAATTATAAGCGCCCAACTTAAAATTTAAAATTTTCATAAAATACTATCAAAGTTTAAAATTGCAAAACACACCCTCAAAATTTTAAATCACAAAAGGTTGAAATTTGCCAAAGAAAAGAGGAAATGTTTGATATTATTATATTAAGATATAATAGGTTAGTATTAATTAATTATAATGTATAAACATTTATCTCTAATGTTGATAATATTTATTTATAAAGTAAAAAAATACAAGGAGTTATGTATGGAGAAACTATCAGAAAGTACAGAGATATCCTTTAAAAGAACTAAGTTGTTTTCATTTCAAATGGAAAAGTAAAGGAAATAAACTCAAATTTCAGAAACATTTATGAATCACCTGAATTGACATTAATAAAAAGCATATCGAGCAAAGAAGCACTAACTGAGTTCTTTTTGAAGAACATACTGAACAATCATGTCCTAAATAAAAAAACATTATTCATGAAAAGTACAAGAAAAATTAGTAAGTACTTATAAATTTTCATACTTTATTCTAAAAATACTAAAGGAATCATAAAGTTAATATAAAATTTTATATAAATAATCTTGTAATAGAAACTAGCGTGAAGCCATTGATCAACTACATTGTGAGATATAATAAACTAGATAAGATGGGAAAATCACTATAATGGACAAAAAATATGCACACTGTAAGTAAAAAAATTAAAATTAAAATTTTTCTTTTCTCTATATAGTGGCACGACTCTGCAAGTACCCTTATTTGGGGATATGACTACCAACGAAAGATTAATTTTTAAGAACACGATCAAAGATAAGAATGTAATGGTACTATGAGATTTCAAAATCTTTAAATATGAAGGTTACATATTTTACAACTAAAATTCTTATTAAAGGCCCCACTAAATATAAAATTCATTTTATACCTGTCTCAAATTTGTATGAAAGATATGCATGTCATCGTAAATTGTGTTAATAATATATCAACTTATTGAAGAAATAAGAGATAGATAAGCAAACCAAGCAGACATCCATATAACACGATAAAGAAAAAATATTACACTTTAAAGCTAATATGCAGGACTCATTCAAAACAAGCTGCTAAAACAAAAGCATCTTCATCAAGGCTTTTTATAAATGCAACACAAATTTAAATTATTTAATATTTTTAAAAATAGCTTAATTTTTAAGTAAAATCAGGAATCTTTAGAAGTGATTATTTTTTTATATGGTTATGTGGATGCTTTTATCATATAAAAGTGTAATAGAGTTAGCATTAATATTTATTTTATGATTTTTTTTCTAAAGTCTATCACTGATTAGCAACAAAATTTATATTCTCTTTAGTTTCATTCTAGCCCACTTTTAATTATTCATATTGTCTTATTGGCTTTAATTATTCATCCTTCTTTTATAACATTATCTTTTCAAGTGTTTTTTACTTTTACAACATTATACTTTCTTAAGTCAAGCTTGGTTTCATGCTGATCTAAATAACGCGAATATTCAAATTAGCTTTAGATTATAGTTATTTCTTATCAATTCAATTATTACATGAAAATTTTAAATTTGGTGTAGCCCATTCAAACAAACATTAAAAAAATAATCACAATAATAAAGTTTGAAAACATTAGTGAGAAAAACAATCAAAGTGGATCTGAGAAACAAATTTTAGTAAAGAAATAAGTCAAAAATACTTAATCATAATATTTAATCACGTGTATTGCACGTGCATAAATCCTAGTCGTTATAGTTTGTAAGATCTTCCTCTTTTCAGGATTCACATGCTACTTATAAGATTGGTTCAATCTTGCATCTCATGAATATTTTTCTAGTCTTTTGAAAAAGGGTTTGATGATTATGAGGTAACAACTTATTTAGCAAAAATGAGCTATCATGAGATAAAAATAGTACTATCCACACTTTTTGATGTAACTAATAGACTGGGCCTCACCATATGGCTATACCTTAATAGCTTATTTATCAGAATGAGCTGTCATCTAACTATACCCACTTTTTCCTTTGTAAATGTAAATTACGATATATGTTGAAGACCATTTCTTTTATATTGGCCCTAATCAGACACTTTAGATGTCTATTCAGGTTGTCAAAAACTATAGTGGTTAACCAGACTCAAACCATTGCCATTCCAATTCTTTCAATTTTCTGCCAATTGAAGAGGCCCTAATTTCTATCTTAGCTTCTTCAAAGGTTTTATCATTTGTTTACTTTGATGTCGTTGCTGGTCGCCACGTGGCTGAACATGAGATAAGTGGTAAATGGTTACCATTGGATGCCCGCTTGCAGTGGCATCTGTATTAGTGATATAATACTGTTATACTTTGAAGTTGATACACGTGAAAAAACCCGTGAAAATATAAGGGAAATATTGAGATAACTTGTGTATGTTATAGTGCAATAGAATAAATAAGAACGTGTTACACTGCGAATTTACCGTCGAAATCCCAAAGTCCTCCTCTTTGTGCATGTGTTTTTTTGGTTTGTTTCAGCAGAATTAGGGCTTTTCCAGCTTTACCATTGCACTTTTATATCTCTCTCCGTTGGACTAGAAAAATGTAAATATTGATGGAATTTTTTAATGTAATTTCGTCATTTTAAGTAGATAATATTTAACTTTTGCGCGTTGTGGATATGAAATTTTCTAATTGTATATCTCTTATTTTCATAGTATTAATTATCTTCTTTATATATATAATTAATATTAAAAAAAGATGCTTTTTTAAAATAGGAAGCTAAAGATAAGCTTTTGAATGAGGGGTATAAGTTTTAGGGGAAAACATGAAATGCATGAGTGCATAGTTCATATTGAAGGGGCAATGGAATTCTATTGATGACAAACTCGAGGATTATATGATAAAAGAATAAAATCAAAATGGTCAAACTAAAGGATTATATTATGGGATAACTATAAATGTTAAAATTATTTAATGTATTCACAGTCCAATATGTTTTATGTGCAAATTTAGATGTTACTTTCATTTAAGGGCATTACGAGAGAACCAACTAAGATGGTGTGTCCATATGCAATAGAAGCCATTAAAATACACTAATACAATCCTTTGGGATTATGATTAATGGAGTAAGATGATGAGTTGAAGTAGGCAAAAGAGAACATGACTAGAAGCAATTATGTAAAAGAGAATTTAAGGACGCTACCCCTAACACTAGTAGAATTTTAGGTATCCTTGACGGTAACATTAGCTGTCAAGAATGTTTAACAGGCCGTCAAGAATGTTGCCGTTAACATTCTACACTGGAGTTCAACATGCTTAACAGAGGCCCGTCAAGGATAATTTGGGCCCATAGTAAAAAAATGGTGAGACATTTTGGGCCCAAAGTAAAAAACAAAAAATGGTGGGAGAATAGCCCCCAATTTTTCACCCAAAATCAAATCTAAGGTTCTCTCTCTCTCTCTCTCTCTCTCTTTTATCTTTTTTCCTCTCTCCCTACCCCAACTCAGATCCCCCTCCACCGCCGCCGCCGCCGCCCCCACCTGTCCTCTAGGTATTTTCAATGTCAAATTTTATTTTTTAGCAATTATTATGGTTTATTGTTTTATTTTGTTTGAATTACTCAAATTCAAAACCCTAATTAACCTTAAACCTAATTCAATCCCAAAGATTAAGATCCTAATTCAAATCTTATAAATCTAACAAGAATTATCCTAATACTAAACCCTAATAACATTACATTAAGTCTAGAACCCTAATTAAATTGACTTTCACCTTAATTTTATCTCTAATGAAACTAATTTAACTTTACTATCCTTAATCATTCTTCTAATGACGTTAACTAAACAAATATCTTAAATTATACTAATTTTAACCTTAATTGAATTACCTAAATCTAGAACCCCAATTCAACTAAACTTAACCAAAATATCACATTAATATAAACACTAGTTAACTAATATAACTTTAATAGCTCTAACCCTAATCACATCTAGTCTAATTAATTAAACTAGTCTACAAAAAATAATTTGAGTAATAACCCTAATAACATTATCCTCCACATTTAAAATTAATTAAACTAATCTACAAAAAATAATTCGACTAATAAATCTAATAATATTACCCTAATAACATTATAATAAGTCTAGAACCCTAATCAAATTGACTTTCACCTTAATTTCATCTCTATTAAAACTAATTTAACTTTACTAACCCTAATCATACTTCTAATAACCCTAATTGAATAAATTACTTAAATTATACTGGTTTTAACCTTAATTAAATTACCTAAATCTAGAATCCCAATTCAACTAAATTTAACTCAAATATTACATTAATCCAAATATTAGGTAGTTAACTAATATAACTTTAATAGCTCTAACTCTAACCACATTTAGTCTAATTAATTAAACTAATCTACAATAAATAATTCGACTAATTACTTGAATAATATTACCCTCGACATTTAGTGTAATTACAAAAAATAATTCGACTAATAACTCTAACAATATTACCCTAATAACATTACAATAAGTCTAGAACCCTAATTAAATTGACTTTTATCTCTATTAAAACTAATTTAACTTTACTTACCCTAATCATACTTCTAATAACCCTAATTGAACAAATTACTTAAATTATATTAATTTTAAACTTAATTAAATTACCTAAATCCAGAGCCCCAATTCAACTAAATTTAACCCAAATATCACATTAATCCAAACATTAGGTAGTTAACTTATATAACTTTAATAGCTCTAACTCTAACCACATTTAGTCTAATTAATTAAACTAATCTACAAAAATTAATTGGACTAATTGGCCTAGTAATATTACCGTCGACATTTAGTGTAATTAATTACACTCATCTACAAAAAATAATTCGACTAATAACTCTAAAAATATTACCCTAACAACTTTACAATAGGTCTAGAAACCTAATTAAATTGACTTTCACTTTAATTTCATCTCTATTAAAACTAATTTAACTTTACTTACCCTAATCATACTTCTAATAACCCTAATTGAACAAATTGCTTAAATTATACTAATTTTAACCTTAATTAAATTACCTAAATCTAGAATCTCAATTCAACTAAATTTAACCCAAATATCACATTCATCCAAAAACTGGTTCACTAATATAACTTTAATAGCTCAAACCCTAACCACATTTAGTCTAATTAATTAAACTAATCTACAAAAAATATTTCGAAGATTATCATGTACAGGATGACTTGGGTGGATAATGTGGGTTGTTTTGATAACTATGATAAGATTGTTGTGTTTGTTGATGTCTTTGAGTGTATTTTTTATTCAAATATTATCGTGTACAGGATATTTGTTGTATATACAGAAAAAAATCTATTTTTTGGAAATTTTTTCGCAGATTATGTACATCCTTGATGGCCACACGATGGGCCGCCTTTAGGGATGCTTGCAAACATCCTTGATGGCAACACCGTCAAGGATGGACAGTCTCGATGTTTGCAAATTTCTTTGACGGCGGCCTGTTAGGATGTTTTGCCCCGTTCATCATTGACAGGACTTTTATCGACGGGCCTTCGTCAAGGATACATATTTTTGACGGAAAGTTGTGCATTCTTGACCGGAATACCTGCCACGGATGCCCAAAATTTTTCTAGTGTAAAATTTGGGATAAAGACCTTGTTGTCGTTGTTATTTTACGGTTAGGAATTGGGTGGTTCATCTTCTCTATATTGGCAGGTTGTTTAGCTTTAACTAATGGCCCGTTTGGTTGATTTGAAGTATCAGAAGGAAGAAGTAGATCAAATCTATTACTTCTAAAATTATCAAGTAGGAAGACATAAGTACTACTTGTTTTGTATGTTTCATAATCTTTTGGAAGTAGAGGAAGTAGTATCTCTTTCACTTTATTCACTTTCTTGTTTGGATAACAATTACAAATATTGTTAGGAAGAGAGAAAGAGGAACTTTTAGGATTTTATTTAGAAAGAGAGAATATCCATGCAATAAGAAATTTGATTTTATTTAGAAGTTGTCTAAGTTTCAGTTACTTTTGAGGTATTTCTGATCCTTAAGGGGAGGAAAAGATTCAATTGTAGGGATGATATGTAGGCGCTATGTCAGCATGTAAGAAAGCACTGAAAGTAGCTTTTTCAGGAAAACATACTTTTACTCGAAAATAGTAGAAATAGTCTTTATTTCTTTACTTTGGTTACTTCGTAGCTACTTCCGTGCGAATAAATAGACCCTAAGCATGTTTGGTTGGTCAAAAACCAAGAAACCGCATTATAGGAAACCTATTTCCTATAAAATTTCCTTTTTCTTTTGTTTGATTCCCACTTGAAAATCAAGAGGGAGAATAAGATGACACCTTCACATTTGTTAATTTGAAACTGTTTCTAGAAAATTAATTTAAAAATTCTTTGTATGGAAATTATTTGGAAACCTATATGATATTTTCTGTGTCAGATTTCCCCTTTTTATTTTCTAGGAAATGATGTGAACAGTCCCTGGTGAAAATGAAAAGCCCACTTGATGACTGGCCCATAACCCAAACCCATTACACGAAATAAAAATAAAGCCTAACCTCAAATCTCAATACCCCTTTCTCTCTCCTCTTTCTCGCCGCTCCCTCCCTCCCCCTCCATAAGCGATCCAGGCGATTCAAATTCTAGCTTTGCCTCTTCGTCTCCGCCTCTGAATCGCATGTCAGTTTGCCGAAGTTCTATGCATTCTCTGTCTTTCTCTTTTCTCTTTCTCTAATTTTCTTTTTAACCTTCAATTCCCTCATCATGGCCCCTTAATGTTGCTGCTACAATTACTTATTCATGTTATTAAGTTGCTTTGCCAATGCTTCTGTCACTTTGGACTAAGAGGCAGCTTATTTCGTATCTGTAAGTTTTTTTTGGGTGTGTGGAGAGTACTGCTGCAACTTTTTCATTGAGTTGTTTGAATTAGAGTTGATTTTTATTAATGAATTAATAATCATTATTATCATTTTATTCTTTTGCTTTCTGGATTCTTTTGAGTTGGGTTTCTGATTAATAAAAGATTGGTTGACTTTGCTTTTTCAGGGTCATAATCAGCAACTCTTTTATCTACTGCTGTAATTTTCAAAATTTCCAATCCTTAGAGTAGAACTTTATCCTTTCTAAACTATTTGAAAGCTTTGCTATATCTGAGACTGTTCTTATTATTTGAGTTGATTGTCTTGTAACATATTGGTGCCTTGTTTGAGTTATTTGTTGAAAGGTTGTGAATTTGACATAATGAATGTTTTATATCCTTGTTTCTGATTAATAATTTTTTCGGTTCTACTAGTGTTTATATGATATCACTCTTGCTTTAGAAGTGGTTTAGTGCTAAACTGCTGATTTAGTCCAGGACCATGGCATGATTCATGTCACTCCAAATGTAGACACCAGGGGATAATAGTAAGTGCATTCAAATGAACTGATTGTATGATGAATGAAAGTCAAACAAATATATGTCTAATGATAATTGGGTCATTCAGGTTGCACGGGTTGGGTTGGGTAAGCCATTTAATAAATGTGTCGGGTAGCATTGACCTATTTACTAAATAGGTCAGGTTGGGTCAAGCTTATACAGGTCGGGTCAACTTTGACCTGACCCAACCCGACCCGACGGTCCTGTGTGCCACCCCTAGTCCCTGACTCTCCTCTAGGTTTTTGTTTACTGATCTTTAACATTTGTCGATTAGGGTTTAATGTTAATTTGTTCATAATTAGGGTTTTCATTTTTGTCTACCAAAGTCTTTAATGAGCTTTCTGGACCGAAATGTCACATATGCTCACTCTTTTAACATTTGAGCAGCTCTATCCCACCTTCAATTCTTACAGAGACATGGCTGAAGATGAGATCGACGCTGAGCTCGAAGAATCTACTTCAACGGCTATCCCTTTTCAGCTCCAGTTTGAAAAGCCAATCCCTTCGCTGGTTCTAATTGCTAAAACCCTGAACTTCTTTTGTTCACCTAAATTTTAATTCTTCTTCTTCATTTTGTTTTTAGATTAAGATTGCGGAATGGAATCCAGAGAAGGATTTGCTTGCTATGGTCACTGAAGAATCCAAGGTCTTCCTCCATCGATTCAATTGGCAAAGGCTTTGGATGATCTCTCCAGGTTTGTCATTAAGCATTTGTAATGCAACCGTTATTCACTTTTTCGTTCAAGTTTTAGCAACTTGGTGGGTACTATTACTATTAAGCATTTGTAATGTAACATATTATTATGTCAGATTCAGTTCTAATGTCAACCTAAAAACCAATATTGGTAAGGTTTGAGATATATTTTTGACATATAAAGCTGAGATCATTTTCGATTATTCGATTCATCGTGATTTTAACAGGAGATGGATGATGTCAGTTTCTATACATTTAATAAAAGCCTCCCTTTTGGTGTTTGCATAACATGCATAAATTTTTTAGAAATTCCAGAAATATTCTCGTACTTTGGGAAAATAAAGGTAACATCCTCACACTTGCAGGAAATGCCCTTACTATTGGTAAAATTAACGTAAATGCCCCACATTTGAAAAAATTAAATGCCCTCAAACTTGGAAAATCCCAAAAAAATAAAAAAGCCTAATCATTAGCTCCCTTGATAATTCGACTATACCCCGTGTTTCATGTGTGCGTCACGTGCTCTATAATACTAGTACTATATAAATGGAAAGATAATGATGACATCACTCATTTGAAACGACGAAGGATGAGAATACTGTATAACTAAAATTTTGAGCTAGTTATATGAATGCTCTTTCCCATTCAACTTGAAAGAGATTCACCTCCCTTTTTTAATTAGCAACTTGCTCAATGACCTTGTGAAATGCCTATATGCATCTACTTAAATACACTTGTTTGGTTATATTCTATCATTGTTCTTCCTATCAGTCAGTATTCACATGCCTTGACTATCTTATCTTATTCCTTTTATATTATCCTTTAATGAAGCTACCTCTTGCTTCGTAAGATAAACTCATCTCTTATCCTAATTTAGTATCTGCTCATCCATATCAACATTTCTTAGTTAGCTATAGTCTTTTCTGCATTTCTTTTGACGCATTGATGTTGTATGACCTATATATTTTAGTGTTAATGTATCCGATGGAAAGATACTAGATGGAAGTGCATCCTTACACAAAAGAACCCAACAAATTACTATTGTGCCTTTCATGAAATTTTTTAGTATAAGGATATTATAGAGGGCGTAAGACCTATTTTTTTCCCAACAGAAATAATTGCTTGAAGATTTCTTCAAGTACAAGAAGGAAATGGGTTGAACATTTGCCATGAGGCATCTTTGAGATATCATTCCAACCGTGTGGTTTACATAGGCAAATGCAACTTCTTAAAAGGCAACACCAAGTATTCATATATCTTCTATCATCTTTCTAATTGTAACTGGACATACAAAGTAACGGTAGGCTTTAGTTTTTCAACTTCTCACTCCATTCTTTCCTTTGTTCTTAGGGTGTGTTTGGCAACTTCACACTAATCTAATTAAGGCCTTAACCGGGTTAGGATTGAACCAAGATAAGTGTGGTCGAAAGATAACCTAGATAAGGGTATCTTTTTTGAACTAAAAAAACTAGTCCAATCTTGTACAAGTTTTTGCTAAACGCAGTTTAAGCCTTTATCCAAGATACTGCCCTTATCCAAGTTAGTGGATGAGTTGCCAAACAAACTTTATAAGTAAAAGAAAACAAATATTCTTAATTAAGTTAGTTTGAGATGTAATTTGACTCCCAACTATTAAATAGAAGGACTCAAATCTGTCTGCGGTAAGTCTCAACATTAATATGAAATGTTTGAACTTTGTACTGTGCATGTTAAAACTTTATGGGCTCAACATTTGCTTTGTGCATCTTTGAGGAGTTTGTGATAAAACATAAACTTGTGAAATTTATATTATATAGAGAAGTCCCTTTTCCACCAAATAGATGTGAGCACCGTAGCTTGTTTGCGGTCATATGGTAAAGCAATATTGAATTGTGGAATGTATTATTCTTGGTTGCCATTCGAATAGAACATATGTTTCATTATTTTGAAAATTTGAGATTTACATGGAGTAGGTGGAGACAAAAAGTATTACTTTATTAGCCTATTCTATTAGGCATGACCTTTACTTTGGAGGGACAATATAATCTATACTTGGATGCTATATTTTCTCTTATCTAGTTTAAGAAATGTATTTATGCTTCTCTAGTGATATGAATGACACTCTTGAATACTCATGCTTCAATGCCCTTGTGAGATGTCTTTTGAGGTCCTCTAGGAGCCATTAAGTTTCTTCTTCGTTTCCCAAGTGTTGATCATTATAACCTTGTTGTATTAAAGTCTTGATCTACATTTGTTGCTCTAACTATCACCACAATACCCAACTCTATGATTTTATGACCATAAAGCCATGGAAGCAAGTAGTGACCAACTTATATCTCATTAGGACTCCATAGAGTTCATAGCTTGATTGGGATGTGAACTGAGGTCTCTTGACACGACAATGTTTGTTATCTGGGAAAATTAATCTTGCTATTTTCTAGTCTAGTATGCTTTAAACTCTTTACGGAGGATTATTTAAATGAACCGCAGCAGTAACTTAGTCTTGTCTGTAATTAGACAGTTTTTAAGACATGTAGCATTATACTTCCACGGCTTACTTCCTTGACACCTAGTTTTCCAATGAAAAGGAAAGAGAATTCCATGTTGAGGGACTATGCAAAAAGGTGTAAATGAGATAATGCTCACTATTTGATAAAGCTATGCTATCTTGGTTCACTTTATTCCACAATCATATCCCTTTAATATCATTCAGTCCACCTATTGGTTGAAAAATTTATAATCTCATATTCCCCTACATGGAGAAATACTTCCAACTCAAATTTACTTTGTGAATTTCTTTGCCAAATAAGTTGAGATGTTAATTAGCTCATATTAGGTCCGATTGATGCTTGATTCCACTTTTGTTATATTTGGGTGAATGCCCCTTTTGGAGGCTTTAAGGATTTCTAATGAATCACATCTAACCATTATTTGTTGTATACACATAAAAAAAATCCCTCCCTACTAAACTTCAGGTAGCAATGCAAATATTGAAAGCACTAATGGTGCATCTAAAAGTAGGGGTATGCTTGTCGATTTTACCAACTATTATCTTGTTTGACAAATATAATTAGTGATAAAAGTCTTTTTTTTTTCTTATGAGTTTTTGGTTCATGATGCTTGTAATTGTTATTAGTATTCTCATTGGACTCTCATCATGCAATGATTTATCTATGGAAGCGTTAATCTTCTTAGCAGGCTCTCTTTTTAGTTGTTCACTTGAAGAGTTATAGTTGTAAGAGTGACAATATTTTTTGAGTGTTCATAGCATTTCATGTTACTTTCTGTTAGGGAAATGTGTTACATCTCTTTGTTGGCGTCCTGATGGCAAAGCAATAGCTATAGGCCTAGAAGATGGCTTGATCTCACTGCATGATGTTGAGGTAGATTCTGCAAACACTTCAAGATGCAAAAGCTAAAATTTATTATTATTATGGGTTAAAATGTTGATGCCTTCTCATAACTTAGAGTTTCTTGACTTATCCGTGTGGCTAGCAAGTGGCGGATGTAGAAAATTTTTCTTTTTTGTGTGTGCGTTGGGTGGGGGGGGACAGGCGGACAATAAGTATCTATTCATCTTAAAATAGAAATATAATATTATAAACTATAATATCTGATGAAGATGTACTTGACTACTTGATACACTTTATTAGCTCAATTGAGCCTATTTGATGGTTGAAAAGTTAAATATAGTTTTACTTCCCAATAGACTAATTTAATTTCCTGCTAACTTATTTAGTGTTTTTAGATAGCTTGAGATGCACTTTTTAACATTTAGCGGGTGTGGGGTAGGGGTGGAGGCATTGTTGTAAATGTTACAAGGATTTATATGCAAATTATAAATTTTCAGGGGTGTGCACCAATACACCTATTTAAATCTGCCTCTGTAGCTAAACATTTTATTTCTACTCGATTCTTTGAGGAAAAAGTGAGTACGAGGTGGATACTCATTTTACTAAATGAGCTACCAAGACATAGATTAGTGGTAAGGTTTATCTTGGTAGTGAAACCAGAGGTGGATCCTACCACTTCCTTTTCTTGGTAATTCATTTTGCTAAATTAGATGATAACTCATATCCAATATCTCCTTTTAAGTACTAGCTTATTTCTTTATTATTGCATTAAAAGATCTAATGTATTTTTTTCATTAATTAGTCAACAAGTTGTTTGCTCTTTAATCAAACCTTTTTCTTCTAGATTGAGAGTATTCTTTGCACTTCGTTTTAGAATTATGATCTAACTTCATGATGTTTCTGTTGTTTGCCATTCTCATTGAAAGCCTTCCATTTTTGACTATTTCTAGCGTATTGCGTAAACAATTTATTTGTTCTCGTTGTTGCAAAAAGCCCCACAAAGTCTTATTTAAGTTGAGTGGTTCCCATGAGTATTTAACTCCATATGAAAGTTAATTCACATCCCTAGGCAACTTTAAAGGCAATCCTTTTGGGTGTGGGGGATGGGGAAGGGTTCACCAATCAACTTGTAGTGAGCGAAAGCAGGATAAGGTCCTATTGTGCTCTATTTCATGAAATGCAATCATAGTATAAACAACTCTCTTTTCATTTTAGTGGTAGTACTCCCTAGCTGCTATCGTTTTGCACCTCTCGATAGTTTAACAATATGTGGTTCTCTTATAATAAAAGCTACTTTAACAACTTTGTCATCTTCACTTTTTTTAGTATGATAGTTGATTCATTGACTTCATACGAGTGTAGTATTTGTTGTCTATGAAGTGAAGCATTCTTGGTTTTTTGGTTTCTGCTGTTATAATTTTTAATTTTTTGTTCAATATATCTTGCTAATTTTAACAGTTGAGTCGCTTAACTTCTTTTTCTCACAGACTTGTTTTGCATGTTATGCGTTTTCGTATTTAGATGCATCTTAGTTCTTATATGGGAGTTTGTCTCTTTTCTGCAAACAAAAGTTTTCTAGTTCATTGGTGTTCGTCTCTTTTCCGCAAACAAAAGTTTTCCAGTTCTACACATTTTGTATGAATTCTAAAATTATCAAATTGAATAATGAAATTATTAAACCTTAAGAAGTTCATTCTTGTTTTTAATTTGTAAAATTACATTTGGAAGCCACATGTTGTTGACAGGGTTAATTTCACAAAACCCCCATGAACTTTGGGGGTTGTTACATATGAACCCCTTGAACTATGGGGTGTCTCACAAAACCCCCCCAAACTTTATCTTATTTCTCATAACCCCCTTAATGTAATTTGCAAATAACTAAAATGTTTGAGTAAAAAATCTCAAACTTTGTCCTTTGTCGTTTACACGCAACATACTCCTTTCCCAAAATTTTGAGTTTTTTCTCTCAAGAAAATTTTAGTTATTTGCAAATTATAGGACGGAGGGCTATGTGAGATGAGGTAAAGTTTAGGATGGTTTTGTGAGACACCCCATAGTTCCCGGGGGTTAAGTGAGAAAACAAAGTTAAGGGGGTTATGTGCTACACCCCCCAAAGTTCAGGGGGGTTTTGTGAAATTAACCCTTTCTAACATAGTTACTATATATATCTAATATGCTTAAAATTTTAATTATTGTATATAAATTTTGAAACACATAAATTGTTGGCCTTTCACTTTTAACTGTCTTCCTTTTAATTTTCTTATATTTAATATGTTTGATCAATACTAAATCTGTCTTAAGGTCTAGGCCCTACCTCCCACTTCATTCTACCTTTTGCTTTCCACAATAATATTGGGTGTATGTACAACATTTATACATAGCTGTCATATGGGTAATGATTATTTATAATCATATCAAATACGTGGTGGATACCTGATGTTATGGATGATATTTACTTGAGGGCTCATTGATTCTATAAATAGTGACATAATATAGACTTCTCCAGGTAGAAGTATTCAAAGGCTCACTTCTACATTGTTGGATGCTAAAAAGAACCACAACCTACTGGCTAAGCAACCATTTTTGACCTTATTTTTCTTTTCATTAATGGAAATGATTATGTTTGTAACTGAACCATTTTGTCTCGTTAAAATTCTCGATTTTCTCTTTCAAGTCTCTACTAAGTGCAATCACCAAAGTAGAAAAAACCAAACATTTTCCAAATTGTATTTAGATTGATTTCAGGAGAAGTTTACTAATCTTGTGACATGCAGCATTGCTTGCTATTTCCTACATTCTCAAAAATCTCCATGTATGCCTTACTATAGCTGCCTACTATTTATATATCCTATGCAAATTTAGGTTCTTCCTACAAGGTATTTTTATTTGTTACTTAACCTACCATGTCTATTGCTGTTGTTTCCCAACTTCTTTACAATACTTGTCCCTCATCCTACACTTTCTAGGCCTATCACCTCCAGCTCTATTGTAATCTTTAATATATTCACCTTGTTTCCTGTGTTTCTGTTTATAGTTTGCACAATATAAAATTGTGTATTTTTGGTTTGCTTGTTTATTAGATGTCTTGAATTTTTAGGGCTCGCACTAGACATCACTTCTTAGGAAGCTTTTTCCATTATCCTTATCACTTAACCTTTATTACTTGTATTAAATTTGATCTCATAAAATAACAACTATCAAGTACCATGGTATGGACTAAAATGATGTTGCGTTTATGTGTGGTGAGTTTTATGTCTAAAAATTACTTGTATCATATCGATGCTCTTTATGATTAACCCAATTATTTTTCCTCAATGCCTGCCACATCATTTTTTTGGTTAGGTGCATATTTTATGATTAACCTTCTAAGCTAAACCTATCGACCTGACCATAAATGTTATGGCTGGCAGTTTCACAAGTGGCGTGTAGGATCTCGTTTTTGTATTCTCAAGGAGCATATTAATTATATCAGAGCATTAATTTTTCATTATAAAAAAAACATTACTAGTATCATATTGATGCTTTTTAGAAGATGCCAATCTCTTCATTATCCTTCTTAGTTCTCCCATAGATCTGTATTCATCTCCATATTGAACTTCATCACATGTTTACTTGTGGAAGTAACCATGCCTTTTCTTTTATCTTTTATATTGTCGTTGACTGCATATGATACAAACATCGTTTAGTGCTTTAACTGGTAATACAATGAGTATACTTGCTAAACTAACAGTTTTCCTTGTTACTGATGTATATTGTAGAATGGAAAGTTGTTACGGAGCATCAAGCTACACAATGTGGCTGTTACTTGTCTTAATTGGGTGGAAGATGGGGAATTGATGAAGGTTCGCTTTCTGAAGCCGTTTGTGCTCTTTTGATTTGTGGAAAATAATTCATAATTAAGATAAAAGAGCAAATAGATGGACATTAATCACAAAATTTTGATAGGGTCTAACTATGCGCTTTTGCCTTATTATTTTATGAATTCATTGGATAATCTTTGTGCAAATTAATGTCGAATGAAAACTTTTATTAAACTATATCTATATATATTGAGAATGATGGGTATGAGGTGTCAGCTCATTTTACGAAATGAGTTACTAGGGGATAGAATGGTGAGGTCCACACCTTTTGATGTGACTATCAAGGTCAGCCTCACTGCATGGCTCTCTCTTGGTATCTAATTTAGCAAAATGAGCGAAGGTAGTAAAAGTCGGATAAATAGAGGACATTTTCCTCCTTCCTATTGTTATTTAGAGGGTAAAATGGTAATTTCACAAGTGGATTTTATCCACTTCTTTCTTTTTCATTTCTTATTTCTAGAACATTCTAAATCATGACATGAGAATAGGATTTGAACTCACATAATCAAAATTTTATACTTCCAATAGAAAATTTTATTTTCATAAATTCGTTTCTTTTCTTTTTTTTTCCTTTCTTATCTTTAGAACATTCTATATCATGACAGGAGAATACTCATCTAATTAAAATTTAATATTCTCATGTTTCGTTTTTGTTTTAATCACTTACTCCAATTATATTATCCTCATTAAGAAAACTACTCAAAAAAATTGTGTTAAGAACATATTTAATTGCTAAATAACAGTTCACAATACATTTAATATGTATAATATAAGATAACTTCATAAAAAAGGAAATCAAGGCCTATGAATTAAAAAAAAAGAAAAATGTATAATAAGATTATTGTATACGTATTTAATATTTTTGCACGGGCAAATGTATATATGGGTTTGATGGTTATGAGGTGACGGCTCATCTAGCAAAATGAGTTACCAAGAGATAGATGGTTTTGATGTGACAAGTAGGGTGAGTCTCATCATGTAGTTATCTCTTGGTAGCTCATTTAGCGCGCGCGCACACACATATATATAACTTTAGTAGTAGACATACATGAGCAATAGATAAGTTTCTACTCCTAATATTACTATTACTGCTGGCAAGGAAGAAATGATGGACTTGATGTCAAGCAACCTATTTCGGTAAAGACATTTTAGTGAACCAAAAAGATGTCATATAAAATATCATATATTCGGGAGGCCTAAGGTTGACAGCCCCAAATTATCATATACAGCCCTGAAAATTATAGGTTAACCATCCAATCATCCTCTGATAAAGTTGACAGCCTTGGCTACTGAAAAGCTAAACTTCAAATCAGAGTCTCCTTCCTGTTTCTGTTACATGGTATCACACACTATTTTCAACATGTCCTAATTTAAATCTCATCTTGGATTTAAAAGTATCTTCTTTGTTAATGAGTGCCATCTATTCGGGAGGCCTAAGGTCTCACGTGAATGGGAATATTATTTTTATGTTTGCTTTAGAGTACATCGTTAGCTCACAATCCATGTGCTTTTATCCCTGAAAAGTTTTATTACCGAAGCTTCGAGTTTTCCTGTGAAAGTTTGATTCTTGTACTTGTAAGAATTGATTGATAGATTAGATAGTGCAATCTGAAAGTTTTACTTGAGTTCAAAGCAAAGAGGAACTAAACTTTGTGGGACCTGGCCTCACTATCATGTACACATATGGTTGCTATTGAGTTCTATTTTACTTTTACCTGCATGGATTTTCTTATCAAATTGAGTTGAATTTTTTATATCCAGGAAATTAGCCTGATCCTAATTTATATTCAACTTTAGTTCCAACTCACCCTCAAACATATTACCTCTGGTCCATGAACAATATTTGGAAAAATTCTGAAAATAGACCACATTTGCTAAATATTTAGCAAAATCGACCATTTTGCTAAATATTTAGCAAAATCGACCTCTTTTTGGCCTGTTGGCCAAAAGGAGGCCGATTTTCAAAAAATTGGCCTGAAAACATACGGGACTACTAGTCCCGTATGTTTTCAACACACTAAGTAGAGATTAGAAAACATACGGGACTAGTAGTCCCGTATGTTTTCTGTGAGGCTTCTCCTGGCTCACCAAAATGTACGGGACTACTAGTACCGTACATTTTGCAGAGACAATTTCCCTTGCAACCAAGTATACGGGACTAGTAGTCCCGTAAAATTTACAGAGGCTTTTGCCTCGGCAATCAAATATACGGGACTAATAGTCCCGTATATTTTGCAGCAAAAATACGGGACTACTAGTCCCGTATTTTTGCTGGGCAGAGGCAAAACATGCACAAAACATGCATGACCCTCTAGCTGAGCATACAACCCTCTAAAAAATACACATTATCACAACACAATACATTATCACAACACAATATATTATCACAAAACAATACATCATCACAACATCACATCCAAAATTCAACCAAAATTCACATCAGCACAAAATAATTCAAACTGCATTAAGTCTAACCATACGATAATATGTAGCTTAAGTAGAATAAATCCAAATGCATCAATAAATCCATACGATAATAATCTACATGGAAAAGCTAACAAAGGAAAAATCCACCCCTCCCCCGTTGTCTCGGCCTTCGCACCCGCTGAGATCGTCGGCGACCCCCTTCGTCTTGAGCTTGTATATGCTCGCTCTCCGGTTGTGTGTGGGGTTGTGACGGACCAGCTCGTTGTGACGGACCAGCCTGTTGTGACGGGCCAGCTTCATCGTCGTGCGTGCAAGATCTATCACGTCTACGGTGGCGCACATATGTAGTATCGCGGTTTCAAAACCAGTCTCTCCCATGCCCAAACTTGTAACAATGTCAAATAGCCTTTGAGCTCTTTATTTTGCATTAAAGCAACCTTTGACATTTCTCGATATAGATATGCTAAAACAGCACTACCCCAGGATAATGTCCCACACACGTCAAAGTCTTCGAGAAGTGGTAACCACCTATTGAAAAATGTGGAAGTTAGTCAGATTTTCTAAAAATAGTGAGAAAAAATATCTTCTTATCAAATAGATCTTTTTTGAAAGTGATATCCTCAGGTCGATCGAAATTAGGACCAGGCTCAACTAACTCAGCTTGTGAGTTATTTACCCACTCATCATTTTCAAACTCTTCGGGTAACGGTTCTTCAGACTCTACATAATCGTTGTTCACGCAATATGCATTCATCCAACTTGCATCATCATTGTTCTCTCCAGTTGCGAACTGCATACTATCAAGACGTTCCTCCTCAGACTCAACATCTTCACTATCATCATCAGCATTTACATATTCGTCATCTTCTTTTATAGAACCACCAACCAGTAAATCAACTAAAATATCATCATACACGTTGTGAAACATGTAACTTGACGTTGCAGCTGCGTCATTTTTTAAGTGCAAGGCACTTTGAGATAATGATATTTGACTTTCAAGCATGCGAGAGAACTCTCCGTGAGCATACGAAACTTCGACAACCCCAGACTTTGGAATATTTTCAATGAACAACTCAATTGCGATTTGTTTATCTGCAAGTTGTATCATGTCATTCAATTATTCATCAGTGGTGATCTTTACTGCAATTGTTCTTTTTTCATTTATTGGACAATTACAAAAGACCTTAATGGCATTTTCGGCATGATTAATTCTGGTAACTCTGTATATTTGCTCCATCATTCCATCGAAATTATAATTTCTAGACAACATGAACATTTTCCTAGAGCCTCCATCATATATAGGCAAATTATTCATTCCAACACTCAATTTCCCATTGAATAAGCAAATAATCGGAATTCCATTCGCCATTTTAACTGAAGAATTAAAATTTGACGTATACAAATTAGATATTTTACAAATTGATGATCATAATTCATTATTTCCTCTAGATATACCTCTAAATATACATATTAACTAAACGAAATTGGAGAAATTTATAAAAAAAATTAACATTGTTACCTTGTCGAAATCAGATTTCGTTGGCGTCGGAGATCAAGCTCGGCGTCAGATTTGAGGGAGGAGGGGGTGAGTTGGCTTTGGGAGAGAGATTGGGTTTGGGAGAGATGGAGATTGGTTTGGGAGAGATGGAGATTGGGTTTGTGTGTGGAATTAGGGTTTGGGAGAGATTTCAATGGGTTTGGGAGGGATTGAGATGGGTTTGGGAGTGAGGGTGAAGAGATTGAGATGGGTTTGGGAGTGAAGGTGGAGAGAGAAGGTGGGGAGAGAAGGTGGAGAGAGATTGAGATTCTAAGGGGAATAGCGGAATTTAGGACAGAGCGGTTATATATGTCGACATTTATACGGGACTAGTAGTCCCGTATAAATGGTTCTCGTGGCTCTGCAAAATGTACGGAAATTGGTGAGCCACGAGAAGCCTCACAGAAAACATACGGAACTACTAGTCCCGTATGTTTTCTAATCTCTAATTAGTGTATTGAAAACATACGGGACTAGTAGTCCCGTACGTTTTCAGGCCAATTTTTTGAAAATCGACATCTTTTTGGCCAACCGGCCAAAAAGAGGTCAATTTTGCTAAATATTTAGCAAAATGGTCGATTTTGCTAAATATTTAGCAAATGTGGTCTATTTTCAGAAATTTTCCACAATATTTACGTTGGCAAAGTATTTAGGAATTCTATCTCCTTTTGAGGGAGACTTAGAAGAATAATTCACAGTGTGATTTGGTCATTCATACTTAAAGCATTATCTTTGATACCCCTAGAAGATTCTAGATAAATATAGAAAACCATATATCTGTGGAAAATTCTACTTGAAGGCAATTTTAAAGGTTTTATAATGTAATACATCATGCTTTGCTCATATCTGTTCAGTTTTGATATTCTACTTTCATGGTCAAGGTCATATGCTTACTGCTCTCCATTTCAAAGTTAACACTACATATTTATATACTAAGAGCTTTTGCTTGCAGGTAGACCGTACTATGCGCTTCTTTCCACCCCCTCCTAGGATCCCTCGGATGCCTGGACTTGTTTCTGGTGACAATGGACTTATGGATGATCCAGAAGATCTATTTCAAGATCTTTTAGATTCTTCACATCAACATTTTAACATCCTTTGCAGTGGAGATAAGGATGGCTTTATTTGCTTCAGTATATTTGGAATTTTTCCAATTGGGAAGATTGTAAGTTGACATATAAATTTGTTTGAACTTTTATTTTGCTCCCTTTGTATTTATGGCTAATGTATAACTTATGGTCTCCTTCCTTGGATTAAAAAAAGGCTCTAAATTAGTCTCAGATTTAAAATATTTCATGCATGTTCAGGCATGGAACATAATAAATCCTTAATTTTTAATGGTTCGCCTTAGATGCTATCCCATAACCTTGCTTGCTATTGTCTTTGAGACTTCATTGTCTTTGAGACTTCATGCTCCCATTTCTTTTTCCTAATAAAAGTGGTCCAACCTAAGTAATTGGTAAAATTGGAAATATTTTAATCACCATAACTAAGAAAACCCAAAGGCCCTTTTAGATAATTTGCATGAATATAACAACATTTAGAAGTCTTGAATTGTCGATGTTCCTTGGGAACTTGAAGTTTATTTAATTTAGCTAGGTTTCTACCAGCGTGAATTTTTTTTCTCTAGAATTTTTATGGTTATGTACTTTATACTGACCCTGGTCCTCTCCTTGTGCACAGTTTAGAAGAAAAGATTTAAGGTTTTGTACGTGAGAAATTTATGCCCGTAGTCTGATACACTTTGTCCAAACCTCAATAAAAAGGGCGCAAAAGTATTTCTGGTAGTTAGTTTCAATGATCCCTTCCACCGCTGCACTAAAACTCCAAATATATGGTGAGAGTGGAGGGTTGTAATTTTATACTCTTTAACATTCCCTTGCAGGTTGAGGTTCCATTTGTGGGCCGAATCCTGGACTCACATAAAGGTTCTTTTTTAAAATGCGCTTTAGAAATTTGCGGTCAATAAAATTCGAATTCGGCTAGCTCCCTTACCATGTCAAAATGTCTCCGTTACTGCACTAAAACTCTTAAGTTGTGGTGAGGGTGAAGGGTTATATTTTATAATAGTCATAATTGGTTGACTTTCTCATGTGTCTCCTGATGTACTCAAGAAACTTTATCAGATAGTTGAAACCCTCTTGCATTCTTTTATGGATATTGGAGCTCACTGGCAGATCATTTGTGTGTATCAAATGGTTTGGAAGAAACAATGATATCCAATTCGTGATTTAGAAATGCTCCTAGTGGAGGTTTAATGTTTTGAAATTGCACAATCTTTTACTAGACATGCCAAAACTTGCGTTCTTTAGATTATCTTTTAATAGCTAATTCACACTTACAACAACCACCACCACCACAACCACTAAGCCTTTATCCTAAATGTTTAGAATCGGCTACATGAATTCTATTTTTTTATTCTATTCTGTTACGGGTCATTTCCTCCGTTACGTTAGTCTTAATCATATATTTCTTAATTGTTTCTGACCAAGTCATTCGAGGTCGACCTCTAGATCTCTTAGCCCCATTAACTCTAATATTATCAATTTTCTTAATCGGAGTACCAAGTGGTCTCCTTTGTACATGACCAAATCATCTTAATCTATTCTTTCTCATTTTATCCTCAATAGGCGCAACCTCTAATTTACGACGGATGCACTCATTTCTTATCCTATCTTTTCATGTATACCCACAAGATCATCACAACATTCTTATTTCTGCTACACATTAGTTGAACATGTTTTTTAATTGTCCAACACTCTGAACCATAAAACATAGTTGGTCTTATAACCGTTCTATAAAAAATTTCCTTTTAGTTTTATTGGTATTCTACGATCACATAAGACTCTCGAAGCACTCCTCCATTTTAACCATCCCGATTTGATTCGATGCACAACATCATCCTCTATCTCACCATCATGCCTAATGATAGATCCTAAATAGCAAAAATAATTAGTTTTAGGTATTTCTTGGCTATCAATATGTTCCATAGGCTCTCTTTCTTTCCTACTTTTACTAAAAATACATTCCATATATTCTTTTTTGTTCTACTAATTCTAAAACCTTTAGACTCGAGCTTGTCTCTATTTTTCTACTTTAGAAATAAAACATTTTCTAGTTTTATTAACTAATAATCTAATACTATATCATCAGCAAATAACATACATCATAGGACTTCATCCTAAATGTGCTTAGTAAGTTGGTTTATAACTAATGCAAAAAGATTAGGACTTAAGCTGGCCCTTGGTGTAAATCTATGGTAATGAAAAATGGTTTAGTCTCTCATTCATTAGTTTTTACTCTAGTTGTTACTCTATCATATATATTTTTAATCACATTTATATATATACTAGATACATGTTTCTTTTCTAACACCCACCACATTACCTCTGTTGGTACTCTATCATAAGCTTTTTCTAGATCGATAAAAGGCATATGTAGATCCTTTCTCTTCTCTCTATTTCTCTCTATCAACCGTTTCAAAATATGTATAGGTTCTATAGTTAACCTCACAAACATAAAACCAAGTTGATTTTCGGATATGGATGTCTATTTTCTTAGTCTTTGCTCAATTACCCTCTCCCAAAGTTTCATAGTATGACTCATGAGTTTTATACCTCGACAAAGTTTCATAGTATGACTCATGAGTTTTATACCTCGATAATTTGAACAACTTTGTATATCCCCTTTATTCTTATATATCGGTATCAAAATACTATACCTCGATAATTTGAACAACTTTGTATATCCCCTTTATTCTTATATATCGGTATCAAAATACTAATTCTCTACTCATCCGATATTCTTTTCGTCTCGTTAATCTTATTAAATAGTTTAGTTAATCATTCTGAGCCTATATCTCCAAAACATTTCCAAACTTTAATAAGGATATCGTTCGGTCCTACGGCTCATTCACTTTTTATTTTCTTTAGAGCATCTTTAACCTCGCTAATCCTATTTTTTTTGACAATATCTATAGTTCCTATCATTCACTATATGGTCAAAATCTCTATTTGGCTCAATTGTTTGATTATCATTAAATAATTGATAAAAGTAACCTCTCCATCTCTCTTTTATTTCCTCGTCGGCCACTAGAAATCTTTGATCCTCACTTTTAATACACCTAATATTACCCAAATCTCTACTATTCCTTTCTCTAATCTTAGCAAGCTTATATATCTTTCTCTACCTCCTTAGATTTTAACTTCTTATAAATTTTTTATAAGTCTTGTATTTATTCTCACTAATCGTTTTTTTGCTTTCTTCCTTACTAGTTTATATTTTTTTAAGTTTTTCCTACTCTTACACTTTTGTCACTCTTTATATAAAGGTTTCTTCTCTCTAAAAACATTTTGCACAATCTCATTCCACCACCAGTTCTCCTTACCGTCTAATCTACAACCTTTAGATTATTCTAGTATATCTTTAGCCACTTTTTTAATACAAGAAGACATGCTATTCCACATAATATTAATCTCATTATATATGTTCCATATATCTTCTTTTATTATCTTATCTTTAAATTATATTAAATTCTCTCCTTTTAAATTCCACCATTTAGTTTAGTCTTTTGTTCATGTTAGTTTTTCTACATAACTTTTTAATAGATATGTCTAAGACCATCAATCTATGTTGTGTACTTACGCTCTCTCCTGGTATAACTTTACAATTATTGCATATTAACCTAGCCGCCATTCTAGTAAGAAAAAAGTTTATTTGACTATTATTAAAATCACTTTTAAAGGTTATTAAGTGTTCATCCCTTTTTCTAAAAAGTGTATTTGCTATTATCAAATTATACGATATTGCGAACTCTAGAATTGATTTATCCATATCGTTTTTATCTCTATACCCGAAACCTCCATGTATCCTCTTATATCTGTTATTATCCTTACCAACCTGTCCATTAAGATCCCCTCCTATAAGTAATTTCTCTCCAAATGAGATTCATTATATTAATTCATCTAATCTATCCCAAAATTTCCTTTTAGTACTTTAGGGCAAGCCTATTTGTGGCGCGAAAGTACTAATAATATTAATAACCTCTACATCTAGGACAACTTTTATTAGTATTATTCTATCTCCAACTCTTCTTACATCTACCATACTTTCTTTTATTAATTATCTACAAAGAACTCCCACTCCATTGCTATTCTTCTTTTTTCCCGTATACCAAAGTTTATATCTGATCTTTTCAATTTCTCTAGATTTTCACCTATCAATTTAGTTTCTTGTAAACAAATTATATTTATCTTTTTTCTAATCATGACATCCACTAATTTTATTATCTTTCCGGTAAGTGTACCTATATTCCAAGTAACTAATCTAACTCTATTTTCTTGTAAAAGTCTCATACCATTTTCCTTCTTAGATCATTCTAGTCTATGCCTAATATTATTAGGTATCCTATTAGAGAATTGTAGATTCTTCATACTTAGAACACTCTTGATTACTTGTCATTACACCGGGGTGATATCGATGTAATGCGTCGCTTTCGGGGTATGCCCTAGCAAATCACCCTTGCTTACTTATCATTGCATCAGGGTAGGATCGATGCAACGCGTTGTGGTTGAGACGTCTTAATGTGTATATAATAGGATTTATTTTACATGTGAATCTGACTATGTTTTACGCTGGCTGTCGGCTACCTAACACAACCCTCTTCCTTTAGTTTCATTGGTATTCTACGATCACACTTAAATATCTTATATCCCCACTTTGCGCATATACCCTTGTTTGTTTTCAGTAGCACTTATGTACCCTAAAGTTCTTAAAACTGACACCTTATAAATTTCCTTACTTTGCCCTTGTATACTGTTATTTGTTTTTAGTAACACTTATCATGGTTTTAAATGTCGGTCGAAATGTCGGATCAGAGGGTAGAGCGACACGGATATAGCCATTTCAAGTCGGATATCGTTTTTGAGGTCCATGTCGGACATATTACGGACATATCGGCCGATTTTTAGCCTTGAAAAATCGAAAAAGGCTGATCTTTTTATTTTTTATTTTTTAAAAGTTAATAAGTATTAGGTTTTGGGTTTAGTACTCAAAAGCCAAACCTGATTAATTCTTTTTTTAGCCTTTTGTTCCCATAGTAACCCGATAGCATATAATACAGATTAGGGCAAAGAAAAAAATATTGCTCTTTTCCGCCGCGATCTCCTCTCGTTCGTCTTCGTCTCTACAAATTAAAATTGAGAATACATAAAAGCGTGATGTAAACAACAAGTTGAACCGTAGCTTGAGATCAATTCAAAGTCTAACACTTTATGTCAATTTTATGCAATGCACTTTACTTTATGTTAATTTTATGCAAGGCACTTCGAAAGTTCTAGTTTGACAATGTGTATTTTATTTATTTGTTAGCATAATATTCTAATGTTTACCTTCAAGAAATGGAAAACGACTAGTGTATTGATGATGAATACTCAACTCAAGTAGGATAAATTATAACAAGATAAGTGTATTCCATCTTGATGACCAAAATTGAGTCGGAATCCATCCGATATTTAGTATATGTCCCCTGACATAACCCCAATTTTCGCTATCCGACATGAATTTTAGCTGTCCGACATGAATCCGATATTCGACATTTAAAACTTTGGCACTTATATACCCAAAAGTTTTTAAAATTGATACTTTAGTACCTTCTGTTATGCAAATGTGAGGATATTCCTCCGAATATTCCCATGTGACACTCACATGCTAATTTCATAATTTTTTTACCCTTAAGGTTTGTTGAATTTACTGTTTAATCTTAGTTCTATTTTGAACCTACCCGTGTTTTGTCTTAGAACAGAATGGGTATAATTATGAATTCAACAAACATTAAAAGTAAGAGAGTTCTAAAATTAGCATGTGAGTGTCACATGAAAATATTCAGAGGAATATTCTCTCATTTGCTTTGCAGAAGGTGCCAAATTTAACAACTCCAGAGTATACAAGTGCTACCAAAAACTAGTGTAGGCATCAAAGTGCAAGGTAGGGTAAAGTGTAAGGTATTTAAGTGCTAATTAGCCTTTTTCAATATACTATTTTAACTCCTGTGTAGCTAAACGAAGGGATATACTACTTCTATTATACATCTTTGGTCCCCCCCCCGCTCTCTCTCTCTCTAGGTCAGACCAGAAAACCAAAAAAAAGAAGAAGAAAAGATAAAGGAAAAAGAATGTACCTTGTTTTGTTAATTTTCTTCTAAGAGATAAGTGAAGTAAATTTGTCGTATAAGTATTATAAACTTAAGTATCCCACTGTTGTAATTTATTGAGCTCAATGGGACAAGAAATATGTCTATGCCAAGCCTAAAGTTTGCCGTTTTTTATATTTTACATAAATCACTTTTGATGATCTTTATGCTGTTGTGACCTGACATGTTGCTTCAATTTTTCTTGTTTGGCACCTCTCGAACCTGTGGAACTCAGAACATTCACACGCTCAAGCTCTTTTTTCAAAATCGTTTTCTTGAACTGTCTACATACGAATTGGCAAATGCATCTATTCAGAAGGTATTTCATTTACAGATGGTTCGGATACTTACTATTATTTTAAATTTCATATTTCACATCCATGATCCATTGCTGCAATAATGTTCAACATCTATTACTAATTTGTTTTTAATGTGTATATAGCAAAATGATAGGTGGCCTGCCTTTGGTATTGACATTTATATTTCTTTAACTATTGGACACTATCCCTAAGCTGTTTTGTTTTTCTTAACATTTTATTATTCATCTACTGTTTAGTGTTGCAAATGGGATGATTACAAGCAATGAATAAATATGTCTTTTGGACGTGTTAATGCTACTTAAGGTACAAAGTTCTGTTGACTTTCACTGGATTGTTGTAAATGTAAAATCTTGATTTTACTTGAGGCCTCCCCTAATCCTTTTGAGAAAAACAAAAGAAACTCATTGTTTACCTATTCTGCTTAGTTTTAAGAATATAGAGAAAAGATAGGTGGCAAGCCATTTGTATTCACATTTATGATCTTTGACTATGGATCCATATCTCTAAATTGTTTTGATCTCAATCCTTTTCTTTTCTTCATCTTCTGTTCAGTGTTGCAAATGGGTCAAGTGACATTTATAATCTTTAACTATGGATCCATATCTCTAAAATGTTTTGATCTTAATCATCTTCTTTCATCACGTTCTGTTGCAAAAGGGTCGAGTGCTAACAACATATGGTATGCCTTTTCGACATGTGCACTTGTTGACTTCCACTGGATTGATTATTAATGAAAATAAGTGATACTCTTTTTCTTTCTTTTATGAATTGTAAACTTCCAACACTCCTTTGTTTTGATTGTAGCTTCTTATGTACTAGCACATTGTATTGCCTACAAGAATAAACATATTAAAATCAGTCGGCTTAATTGCACTTTGATACCTCAAAATTTCATCCATTTTGAACTTATTCACCAAAGTTTTTAGGTTTTTTTTTGGTGTGCCTATTTGATACCCTACTGTTTCAGCATGTTGGACTTTGGTAATCCACTACTTAAATTTTTTTGTTCAAATTAGATTATGTGCTTCAGTGCTTAAGACATAATCTGTTTTGGACATTTATCCCCCTGTAGTCATTGTAAAAGTTCCCTTATCCATCAATTCTTCTTGATTGATCTGTTTTCACCCTTACACATTAACTCCATAGACCTAATTCTAATCCTTCTTTCTGAAAAGTGAAATTAGGTCAATGTAAAGTTGGGTGGAAGAAGAGACAGAGGTTGTTTATAATGACTAGAGGGGTATAAATGTCCAAATTAGTTGGTCTTACAGATATCATGCAAGGTGCTTTCTTCCCAAAATTTGGACGTGTATATTTAAGATGCATTCTTAAATGCTCTCATTTCTGACAGATTATTCATGGTCAACAAATAAAGTAAGATGTAAATTTTACATCTTGAGTCTTGCTATTGAAGGTCAAACACAGAAAACTCTGTTGTGGGACATAAGACTTGTATTTGTATTTGTATCATTTTGTATATTGCTCTCTATCCCACCATCTCTCTTACTCTATGACATTAAATGTTATTTTTATTATGAGTCTTTTGAGGGAATGGAAAATGTTATATTGTTTCCTGGAACTAATCCAAGTCAACTGTATATTGGTTCAAGATTGTCAGTAAATATTGTGTTGCTGGATGCAAGTCTATAGCTTAGTTGATCACTTGCTCTTTTCTCATTGTTTTTGCTTATTTTACTACCTCATGTTTATAGAGGGTCTTTTTTATCATGCCAAAGACACATTTGTTGCATTTCTTTTTGTGTTTTTTTCCCTTGAGAAAAGCTGGATACATCTTAACAGGGTTTCTCTTTGATGATTGTGGCTGTAATCAGGTTGCCTTTTCAAAAAATCTTCGTGAACTGGTGGTGGTTAGCTTTGGAGAATTGTCTGAGGAAATCTGTACAGAAAAAGACAAGCGTACAGACGCACATGAAACAGCTCGACTTGCGAAATCCACATTCAACAATGCTCCTTTGGTTGGACTGCACTGTTTTCTTCTCGATACATCTATATTTTCTAGTAGGTAATCAGGAATCAACTTTTGATTAATAATGTAATAAAGCTTTTCCACATGTAAACCACTTGATTTTTGTACAGTTTTAAAAAAGCAAACACTTGAGCTTGCACTTCTTTTGTTGAAAGACAAACGCTAGTATATTTTGCATCATTCTCAATGCTGAGAATTTCATTCTCCTACAATGGTATGGTAGCATTTTTCCAACACGCAATCATCTATTTTTGACATAGCACACCTAAATTTGGACTATATTTTTTTGCTTTCCCATTAAGAGTTTAAGTTTTGTTTTAACAGGAAAATTGAGCTTCATAAGGTGGCCGTGCAGGGTTCAAATATTGAAAATTTGTTAGAGGTCGTCCGTACATCCCTATCAGTGATGTCCAAGCACTGGTCTGGTGCCATGAATTCATTTCATGACAAGTTTGACTCCTTGGCTACTTTGATTGAAAGCCATGGTAATAGTTTTCCATGTAATTAAAGTCATACTTGACGTTCTTGGAGTGACATTTCCGGTACCATTTCATTTTATTATATGTATTTTGTGTAGGGCTGGAATCAAGTCCACAGGATGAGTTTTTAAGCCTCTTATTTGGTGCACGAACAAGTCCCCCACTTCATCAGTTTCTTGTTAACTCACTTGGTGAATCGGTATCTCCCTATTAAAAACGACTGTTAGATTAGCTTATCTTTATGTCAGCAATCACTGGATGCAGTTCCTTCTAAACAGGGTCTAAAGCGTGTGGCTAAGGCCCTTGACGGCGCTGGGAAGGAGCTGCATCTGATTGTACGTGAACATCTTCAGGTACATTTTTAGCCTCCATTCATTTTTTCTTCTTACACACACACATAGCTATGTGTGTGTGTGTACATATATATACGTATACATACATACATATAGATATATAGATATGTATATGTATATATATATAGGTATATATATACATATCTATATGTGTGTGTGTGTGTTTTTGTGTGTGTGTGTGTGTGTGTATATATATATATATGAAAAATGTTCCTAAGGTGACGCCTTAGATAATCATCTAAGGATGCGGTCTAAAATCACATGATTGAGCTACATTGTGGATGATCCGCTCCGTTGAACTTGATCTACATATTTTAAAACCTCAATACACCAAGTTTGGGGTGAACCTATCGTCGTTTGACACTCCGTCGAGCCATGTGAAAAGTTCTATTCATTCGAAACCGTTAAAATTAATACGAGTGGATGAAGGGTCTCCGTCGAGCCATGTGAAAAGTTCTATTCATTCGAAACCGTTAAAATTAATACGAGTGGATGAAGGGTCAAACGATGATGAGTCCACCCCAAACTTGGTGTGTTGGGGTTTTAGAATATATAGATCAAGTTCAACGGAGCGGATCATCCACAATGTAGCTCAATCATGTGCCAAGTGAATGTGGTCCCACATTTAAATGAGTGGAGGGAGATGTGACACCTTACTACCAAGCATAATTTTTTGTGCTTGGTACCAAGCATACCCATATTTCTCTCTCTCTCTCTATATATATATACACACACACACACACACACACGCTTATAAATACACACATATACATACATACATGAATACATATGTATATATGTATGTATGTGTGTGTGTGTGTATATATGTATGTATATATATATATATACACACACATGTATACATGTATATGCGCGCGCGTGTGTGTATATATACATATATGTGTGGGTGGGTGGGTGGGGGTGTGTGCATCCCTTTTCATGTGGTTTTCGATGTAAGGTCTTGATTTTTGATTGAAAATTGAGTGTGATATTGTAAAAGCCATAAAGCGGAGAAGAGGACCTGCATATGTTTATGTCAAAATGATCTGCTATGTACAAAACTGAGAATGCTAGAGATCAATGTTTTGGAAAGCGCTAGGCGCTTTTGGGTGCTGGACATGTCGCCTAGCACCCAGGCAGACGTCTAAATGGCATGTAGGCTTTTTTAGCAGCAAGAAAGGAAGGGATTTTTTTTTCTTTTTGAAGATTCAAGATCCTATCCTCACCGTCTTATCTCTGAGATGAACTTGGATTGAGTTCTATATCATCCATTTTAACCTGACCTGTTCTCTTCACCGGGCAATAAACTCCTTTTTGATGTGGTGAGTCCATGTAAGGCGCTCTTAAGAATTAGGCGGCAGCCTAGGTATTGCTTAGACCAAGGTGGGTGCCTAGGTGGTCTCTGAGACTTTTTTTCTAAAAATAGTGCTAGAGATAGGGAAAAGAAAAGCATGACCTTGGAGACAAGTTTTTGTATCTAGCCTTGTGCATGGGAAGATGAGAATTCTTTTCTCTTTACAGGAAAGGCAAAACCTTGTTAGCCTCTCTCTAGCCAAACATTATATATCTTAATATAATTCCTAATGCAAAAAGAATGCCTAAAGAGTCTAGGGAGACTAGGGAGCTCGTCATTATACACAAAAAATAGGAGATCGATCTCAAACATGGAGCTAGCACTTTAAACTGGAGCCATACCATGGTAAGTGCTACAGTTGGAAATCTGCTGTCTGAGGTTCTGTTGCATGTGCTATTTCAAGTTAGTTTTAGTTCATCCCATCCTGTTTTTCCTAATTACGAGTTTGGAGCATAAGTGCCTAATGGCATCAAATTCAACTCGATTGGCGGACCAAAAACCTGTGTAGCCCAATGTTTGAAAAAGCTTTATGAAGCGTGTTCCGAGGCTTGATTCAAAGCATTTTGAAGGATAATTGCTTTGAAGTGCAAGAAAAGCATTTTGTCCCTGGAAGCAGACACTTCGTTCCTTAAAGCATAACAAACAACAGGATTCATGCCTTATGAAGTGTTTCTCATTTGAAGCACTCATCTCAGACATGATAGCATGGCAGAAAATATTTTTAACTTAAATATTAAAATGCCTCGATCTCTTCATTTTCTTTTCTCCAGTCTTGAAGATTTCCCTTTTTCTTGTTATAGAAATTAAAAAATTAAAGCAATTATCTTATCTAATCTTATTACATGTTTGCTTCTTTTTATGATCTGGATGAATATTTCTTCTGCTAATTCGACTCGTGTTTAGACATAACTTTATGGACATGTATGAGAGAACCATGGAGCTATAGAGGTGAAGGGATAGGCAGATTCCAATGATGTACGTAAACTAGAAAGGCCAAGACCCAATACAACATATCTTTCTGCTAATTCATACTAGACACGACCAATGAACCACATCAGCATATGAAACCTTGTTTAATGGGTCTCTTTTCTTCTGTGTTTACCGACTAGTGGCTGAACCAGGGTTTCCACAATTTTTCTTTCAACGGAACTGTTATTTTCTGCTTGAATATATTATGTCTCACTTTACAAAGCTTTGGTCTGATCCTTCCTAAAATGGTTGCCAGCCATATGCTATATCTCCCAAATAATATATTTCGATTTTAGATCTCCTTTTATCCTCTCTTTTTCTGTTTTCTATTCTTCAGCCTCTTCTATGTATTATAATATCTTTTGTTGATTATTTTTTTTATTTTGCAACATAATCATCATTTGCTGATAAAAAATGTATATGCACTTTGTAGACGAGTAAACTAGGTAATGGGAAACCATGGGAATGCCTATATTTAATTTTTTATCAGCACATTTAACAAATTAAATGTCCAAAGTGGTTATGTGTGTCTGTCAACTTATTTTGCTAAATGAGCTACCAAGAGTGGTGAGGTCAACACCTTTTGATGTGACTAGCAAGATGGATCTCACGACATGGCTCTCATGTCCAAAGTGGTTATGTGTGTCTGTCAACTTATTTTGCTAAATGAGCTACCAAGAGTGGTGAGGTCAACACCTTTTGATGTGACTAGCAAGATGGATCTCACGACATGGCTCTCA